GGTTTCTAGTTCTCTCCCCAGTTTGGTGGTTTGTAGTTCTCCCCTCTTTGGTGGTTTCTAGTGTCCCCCCCTCCTCTCCTGGTGGTTTCAGGTTCCCCCCCATCAGGGCCCGGGGCTGGGCTGGGGTTGTGGGGTGGGGAGGTGGCAGTGGATTTTCAGGTTGGGCCGGGTTGTTGGAGGCCGGAGCCTTGTCCTGTTGGCCTGTGTGTCTCTGTGTCTGTCTTTCTGTCTGTCTTCCGTCTCCTCTCGGTCTGTCTGTCTGTCTGTCTGTCCATCTGTCCATCTGTCAGTCTGCCTGTGTCCCTGTCTATCTGTTTGTCTCTGGGTCTGTCTGTCCATCTGTCCATCTGTCAGTCTGCCTGTGTCCCTGTCTATCTGTTTGTCTCTGGGTCTGTCTGTCCATCTGTCCATCTGTCTGTCAGTCAGTCAGTCTGTCTGTGTCGGTCTGTCTCTCTCTGGGTTTGTCTGTCTGTCCATCTCCTCTTGGTCTGTCTATGTCTGTCTGCCTGCCTCTCGGTCTGTCTGTCTCCTCTCTGTCCATCTGTCTTCCTTTTTGTCTGTCTGTCCGTCTGCATCTCAGTCTGTCTGTCTGTGTCTCTGTCCATCTGCTTCTGTCGGTCTGTCCATCTCCTTTCAGTCTGTCTGTCTGTCTGTCTCCTCACAGTCTGTCTGTCTTCCTCTTGGTCTGTCTGTCCACCTAGATGTCCATCTGCTTCTCCTGTCTGTCTGTCCATCCGGTCTTGGTCATCCGTCCATCCCTTGTTTGTCTGTCTGTCCCTCAGTCTCTGCATCTGTCTGTCTCTGTCTGTCTGCAGGTCAGTCTGTGTCTGGGCCCCTGTCTGTCCATGTGTGTGTGTCCATGTTTCTGTCTGTCCATCTCCTCTCTGTCTGTCTCATTGTCTGTCTATCTGTCCATCTGTCTCTGGCTCTGTCTGTCTGTCTATCTGTCCATGTGTCATCCTCTTGGTCTGTCTGTCTGTCTGTCCATCTGCCTCTCAGTCTCTCTGTCTGGGTCTGTCTGTCCTGTGTCTGTCTGTCTGTCTCCTCTCTGTCCATCTGTCTTCCTCTCTGTCTGTCTGCCTCTTGGTCTGTCTGTCCACCTGGCTGTCCATCTGCTTCTTCTGTCTGTCCATCTGTCTGTCCTGTCTTGATCATCTGTCCATCCCTTGCCTGTCTGTCTGTCCGTGTGTCATCCTCTCGGTCTGTCTGTTCGTTTCTGTGTCTATCTGTCTCCCCATCCATACGTCTGTCCCCAACAACTGTCCTCTTTCCCCCTCAGGCCAGGCCGACTTTGACCTCGCCGACGCCCTGGATGACCCCGGTGAGTCTTGACCTCTCACCTTTCCCCCCCCATGGCTTCACCCTGGCCGCTAGGCCTCACATGGGGCCTTGATCCAGCTGTGGGCCTGAATCCCATGTGACCCTTTGCCACCCCCTGAGGCCTTGGGATCAGGGGTTGGGGGGGGTCAGGGGAGGTCAGGGGTCACCACCCTCTCTCTCTTCGCCCACAGATCCCACCCCGAAGCCCATCTCGGATGAGTGGGGTCCTCCCACACACACACCAGGCCCACCCGGGGTGGGGAAACTGAGGCACGGCCCACTCCTGGCACATAGGGCTGTACCCGCAGCTGCCTGACCCGCCCAGGCCGTGACCTCCGGGTCGGGAAGGAGGTGAGCGGGGTCAGGGGGGGTCAGGGGGAGCCAGGGGTCAGGGGAAGGAGGGGGGTAAGGGGAGGGGAGAGGCCAGCCTCCATCCTCCCTCGCTCTCTTCCCGCAGACATCTACCTCCCGACGCCAGCCTCCACCCCAGCCCCAACCCCCGCCAGGCACAGGAGGTGAGGACATGGAAGGGGGGAGGCCCGGATGTGGAGGCTGGGGATGGAGAGGCCTGGATGTAGAGGCCCGGATGTAGGGAACCCAGTGTGGAGGCCCGGATTTATGGACCCGGATGTGGAGACCCCAGTGTGGAGATCTGGATGTAGAGACCCAGATGTGGAGACCCCAGTGTGGAGACCTGGATGTAGAGACCCGGATGTGGAGACCCCAGTGTGGATTCCTGGATGTAGAGACCCGGATGTAGGGACCCAGACATGGGATCACAGATGTAGGGACCTGGATGTGGGTACCCTGATGTAGGGACCCGGATGTAAGGACCCGGATGTGGAGGCTGAGCTCCCAGGGCTGCGTCTCTCCTCCCCCTCCACCCCAGGTGCTGGTGACGAACACGTGATCCACGGATACCCTCCAGGGTAAGTCCCGCCCCCTCAGCCGCCCCACTTCCGGTCCCCTCCTGATCTGGGCCCAGGCGTGTATTGGGACTTCCGGTCTGCATGAGAACTTCCGCTCCTGACAGTATGTGAACTTCTGGTCCAGAGTATCGGAACTTCCGGTCCTGATTGGGAACTTCCGGTCCCTAGTATATAACAACTTCCGGTCCCGACTGGGGACTTCCAGTCCCTAGTGTATAGGAACTTCCAGCCCTGACTATGGGGACTTCCGGTCCCTAGTGTGTTAGAACTTCCGGTCTTCACTGTGGAGACTTCCAGTCCCTAGTATATAACTTCTGGTCTTGACTATGGGGACTTCCGGTCCAAGTGTACAGGAACTTCTGGTCCTGATTGGAAGGACACTTCCGGTCCCTAGTGTATAGGAACTTCCCATCCTGATTGGAAGGGCACTTCCAGTCCCTAGTATAGAGGAACTTCCCGTATCTAGTGTATAAGAACTTCTGGTATTGACTATGGGGACTTCCGGTTTTGACTGTGGAGATTTCCAGTCCCTAGTATATAGGAACTTCTGGTCCTGACTGGGGACTTCCGGTCCCTAGTATATAGAAACTTCCGGTCCTGATGGGAAGGGCATTTCCGGTCCCTAGTGTGTAAGAACTTCTGGTCTTGACTGTGGAGACTTCCAGTCCCTAGTATATAACAACTTCTGGTCTTGACTATGGGGACTTCCGGTCCCTAGTATACAAGAACTTCTGGTCTTGACTAGGGGCACTTCCTGTCTCTGTTCATGGACACTTATGTCACGCCATCTAATTGCAAGGGGCGTGGCCTGAAGTTGACAGGACACTTGATAATACAAGGGGGCGTGGCCTGAAGATGACAGATAGGACACATGATTATACAACAAGGGGGCGTGGTCTGAAGGTGACAGACAGGACAAATGTCCACACAACAGCCAGGGGGCGGGACCTGGAGGAGACAGACAGCCCCTGTGGCCTTTCAACAGCCATTGGGCGGGGCCTGGAGGTGACAGAGAGCCTCTATGGCCTTCCAACAGCCAGAGGGCGGGACCTGGAAGAGACAGACAGCCCCTGTGGCCTTCCAACAGCGAGGAGGCGGGACCTGGAAGTGAAGGACAGCCCCTGAGCCCATACATTCACTAGTGGGCGGGACTTCTGGGTGATGGGCACCCACAGCATTCATAGAGCTAGCCACGAAGAGGCGTGGCTTCACACATATCGACTCTCCAGCTATTGGCTTGGCAGGGGGCGGGACTCAGGGATGATGGACAGCATGCCCTGCCTTTCAATATCACCCAAGGAAGAAGCGGGACCGGACCCCCAGCTTCCCTGGGCAGGGCCAAAGGATGGAGAGACAGGCGTGTCAGCCAATCAGAGCAGGGGCGTGGCTGGAGGAGTCCCCGGGGAAGCCAATGGGTCCCTCCCTCCAGAGAAGACCCGGATGTCGTGCAGGTGCAATGCATCCTAGGCCTAGGGAGACACAGACCTCCAACCTCGACTTATCCTACCGCCATAAGGAGCTATAGGCCCATCTGGGTCAATCCCTGGAGAGGTCATTGGGGTCCCCTGGGACAGGCACAGAAGGGGAAGAGGTCGCAGGCCTGGTCATCCACCCATCCATCCACCCAACCACCGCCCCCCCTTAGAGTGGGCCAACATCCGGGTACCCCACTTCTCCAATCCCGCTGGGCCAATCTGAATCCGAGTTCAGGTAGTTAGGGGCAGGACTGTCGTGTGAGGTCCAATCAGCAGCGAGTTGGATTTGTGGGGGGGCTAAAGGGCATGTCTTACAGCTGGACCAATGACAAGTGAATTAGGAAAGTGAGGGCAGGGCTTTCATGGAATAGGCCAATCAGGTGTGAATCTAGGTGGTGGGATGTCCTAGAGGAGGGCAAGACCAAGCCTGTATCCTAGCAACCCACTGGAAATGGTCTGAAATGGAAGGTTGGATTAGTCCAATACCCTAGCAACCACCGGAAATGACCTGAAATGGAAGGTGGGACCAGCCCTGTATTACGACCGGAAATGTTCTGAAATGGAAGGCGGGACCAGTCCTATACCCTAGCAATGACCAGAAGTGGCCTGAAATGGAAAGTGGGACTAGTCCTATACCTTAGCAATGACCGGAAATGACCTGAAGTGGAAGGTGGGAGTAGTCCTATACCCTAGCAATGACTGGAAATGACCTGAAATGGAAGGTGAGACTAGTCCTATACCCTAGCAATGACCAGAAGTGGCCTGAAATGGAAGGGAGGACCAGCCCTGTATCCTAGCATCAACCGGAAATGACCTGAAATGGAAGGCAGGACCAGTGCCCGGCTTCTGACCCCGGTGACCCCTGACCCTGCCGTGCGGTGCGGTGCTCACGAGGTTTTATTGTGTGAGAAGTTAGAGGACATAGGCCCGGATGTGAGAGGGCCCTGGATGGGAGGCTGGGAAAAGGCCCCGGATGGGAGGACCAAGGTGGAGGTCCAGGATGAGAGGCTCAGGATGTGAGAGTCCCCGGATGTGGGAATCCCTGGGTCTGAGAATCCCCAGATGTGAGACTCTCTGAATGTGAAAATCCCCGGATGTAAGAGTTCCCCAGATGTGAGAATCCCCGCATGTGAAAGTCTCTGGATGTAAAAGTCCCTGGATGTGACAATCCCCGGATGTAGGAATCTCTAGATGTGGGAATCCCCGGATGTGAGAATCCCTGGCTGTGGGAATCCCCAGATGTGAGAATCCCTGGATGCGAGAATCCCCAGATGTGGGAATCCCCGGGTGTGAGATTTCCCCAGATGTGGGAATTCCCCGGTCTGAGAATCCCCGGATGTGGGAATCCCCGGATATGAGAATCCCCGGATGTGGGAATCTCTGGATGGGAGAATCTCTGGATGTGAGAATTTCCGGATGTGAGACTCCCCGGATGTGAGAATCTCTGGATGTGAGAGTCTGTATGTAGGAATCCCCGGATGTGAGAGTCTCTGGATGTGAGAATCCTCGGATGTAAAAGTCCCCGGATGTGAGAGTCTCTGGTTGTGAGAATCCCCGGGTGTAAAAGTCCCCGGATGTAGGATTCCCCAGATGTGTAAATACATCCCCGGGAATCCCCGGATGTGTCACCAGAAGTGAGAATCCCCGGATGTGAGAATCCCCGGATGTAGGAATCCCCGGATGTAGGAATCTCTGGATGTTAGAGTCTGTATGTGGGAATCCCCGGATGTGGGAATTTCTGTATTTGAGTATACCCAGATGTTTAATACCCGGATGTGAGTCCCCGGATGTGAGAGGCGCAGGCCAGGATCTGCCGTAGCCCCAGGGAAGTTGGTGGTTGGGGTCGGGTCGGGGTCAGAGGTCGGGGATCAGGTGGTCGCAGGCACAGAGCAGTCCGGGCGAGCAGCAGGGCTGCAGGCGCGGGCTCCAGGTGTTGTGTGCAGGGGCGAGGGGCGGGGCCGCGAGGGGGCGGCGCATGCGCAGCATCCGGGCCACCGCGGCCTCCACGCGCCTGCGCGTCGCCATCAGGCCCTGCAGCGGGCGGGTCTCCCCCGGGTCCGCCGTCAGGTCAAAGAGCAGTGGCCGCCGGTGGCGGGTCATTCGCCGCCCCGAGCAGGCGCAGGCAGGGAAACCGAGGCAGGTGCCCGAGCCCGGCGGATCGAAGCGTGGAGTGGCGAAGTGCAGCTTCCACACCGTGTGGCCTGCGGGGGGTGGGGGAATAACATCCAGGGCCTCACATCCGGGGATTCCCATCCGGGAATTCACATCCAGGACATCACATCCAGGGATTCCCATTCAGGACTTCACATCTGGGTATTCACATCCGGGGATTCCCATCTAGGACCTCACATCCGGGGATTCACATGCAGGACCTCACATCCGGGAATTCACATCCGGAACCTCACATCCAGAACCTTACATCTGGGGCTTCACATCTGGGGATTCACATCTGGGGCTTCACATCCGGGGATTCACATCGGGGGGGCCACATCCGGGCATTCACATGTGGGACCTCACATCCGGGGACTCACATCTGGGGATTCCCATCCGAGGCCTCACATCCGGGATCTCACATCCAGGGCCTCACATCCAGGGATTCTCATCCAGTACCTCACATCCGGGAATTCCCATCGGGGACTTCACATCCGGGGATTCCCATCTCATGACTTCCATCCAGGTCCTCACATCCCGGGATTCCCACATCCGGGTCTCCCACCCCCAGGCCTTGCATCCGGGTCCCTGCGCGCATGCATGCAGCTCCCTCCCCCGCCCCAGGGCCCAACTGAGGTCGAGGCACTCACTTGAGCGGTCGAACCAGCGCACGGCGTGCAGCCGGGCCTCGCAGTAGTGCAGCAGGAAGTCGTGGCCTGCGGCCTGCGCCGTCCCCAGCAGCGCGGGCATCAGGTCCCGGCCGTCCACCTCCCTGCGGGACCCGGATGTGCAGGCTTCTGAGCGCTCAGAGACCCGGATGTGCAGGCCAGAGCCCCCAGAGACCCGGATGTGCAGGCCAGAGATCCCAGAGACCTGGATGTCAAGGCTTGAGCCTTTAGAGACCCGGATGTGCAGGCTTCTGAGCCCTCAGAGACCCGGATGTGCAGGCCAGAAATCCCAGAGACCCAGATGTCCAGGTTTCTGAGCCCCCAGAGACCCGGATGTGCAGGTCTAAGACCCAGGCCTCTGGTCTTAGAGACCTGGATGTGCAGGCCTGAGGCCTCAGAGACCCAGATATCCAAGCTTCTGAGCGTTCAGAGACCCGGATGTCCATGCTTCTGAGCCCCCAGAGACCCGGATGTGCAGGCCTGAGATCCCAGAGTCCCAGATGTGCAGGCTTCTGAGCCCTCAGAGACCCAGATGTGCAGGCCTGAGCCCTCAGAGACCCGGATGTCCAGGCCTGAGACCTGGGCCTAGGTACTCAGAGACCTGGATGTGCAGCCCTGATGCCTTAGAGACCCGGATATGAAGGCCTGAGTCCTCAGAGAACCAGATGTCCAGGCTTCTGAGTGCTCAGAGGCCCAGATTTGCAGGCCTGAGCCCTTAGTTACCCGGATGTAAAGGCTTCTGAGCCCCCAGAGACCCGGATGTCAAGGCCTGAGCCCTGGGTCTTGGGTCTTAGAGACCCGGATGTGCAGGCTCCTGAGCCCCCAGAGACCCGGATGTGCAGGTCTGAGCCCTCAGAGACCCGGATGTGCAGGCTTTTGAGCAACCAGAGACCCGGATGTGCAGGCCTCAGCCTCCCCCCCTCGGGATCCCCGAGGCCCAGGATGACCCCCCTTCTCCTCCACCCCGTGGGGACCCAGGCCGGCGAACTCCTACCTGTCCGCCGGAACCCAGCCCCCGGCCAGGCGCACCACGGTGGGGAACAGGTCCATGAGGCTGGTGGGCTCAGGCACCAGGCGCCCTGCGGGCAGTGTCCTGGGCCAGCGCACCAGCCCAGGGACCCGGATGCGGCCCTCCCAGCCGCCCATGCCTTTGCCACCTGCAAGGGGGGGGCGGAGGGCAAAGGTCAAGGGGCAGGGTCGGGCTGCGTGGGAGGCCCCGCCCACCCTGCCTCAGTTTCCCCCTCGCCTCGGTGCACGCCGTTGGAACCCCCGAGGCGGGCGCCCCCAGCCCGGGCCTCCAGTGAGGCACCGTGGTCCGACGTGAAGTAGACGAGGGTGCGGCGCCCCAGCCCCGCACCGTCCAGCGCTGCCAGCAGTCGCCCTGCGGGAGGGGGGGGGGGAAATGGGTCCGTGCCTCAGTTTACCCCCAGCATCCACCGTGCCTCAGTTTACCCAACATGCATCATGACTCAGTTTACAAATTTCCATCGTGCTTCAGTTTATCCTCAATGCCCAGTGACTTAGTTTACCCAACAGGCACCCACCGTGCCTCAGTTTACCCCCAACGCTCACCGGGCCTCAGTTTACCCAAATGCACTGTGCCTCAGTTTACCCCCAACATGCACTGTGCCTCAGTTTACCCAAATGCACTTTGCCTCAGTTTACCCAAGTGCACCGTGCCTCAGTTTACCCTAAACATGCACCGTGCCTCAGTTTACCCCTATATTTGGGCCTCAGTTTACCCAAGTGCACCGTGCCTGTTTACCCAAATGCACCGTGCCTCAGTTTACCCCAACCCGCTGACCCCGTCCCCGTGCCTCAGTTTACTCCCATCCCGGTGCCTCAGTTTACTCAACCCACTCACCTCGTCCCCGTGCCTCAGTTTACCCAACATGCACCATGTCTCAGTTTACCCAACATGCCCAGTGACTCAGTTTACCCAACATGCACCATGCCTCAGTTTACCCAAATACACCGTGCCTCAGTTTACCCAATACCCAGTGACTCAGTTTACCCAACATGCACCGTGCCTCAGTTTACCCCTATACTCGGGCCTCAGTTTACCCACATCCACCGTACCTCAGTTTACCCAAATGCACCGTGCCTCAGTTCACCCTGAACATGCACCGTGCTTCAGTTTACCCAACATGCACCGTGCCTCAGTTTACCCAAGTGCACCGTGCCTCAGTTTACCCCCAACATGCCCAGTGACTCAGTTTACCCAAATGCACCATGCCTCAGTTTACCCAAACCCCATGCCTCAGTTTATCCCCAACACACTGACCCCGTCCCCGTGCCTCAGTTTACCCAAATGCACCGTGCCTCAGTTTACCCCAACCCATTGACCCCGTTCCCATGCCTCAGTTTCCCCCATCCCGCTCACCCCATCTCTGTGCCTCAGTTTCCCCCAACCCACTCACCCCACCCCTGTGCCTCAGTTTCCCCATCCCGCTCACCCCGTCCTCATGCCTCAGTTTCCCTATCCTGCTCACCCCACCCCCGTGCCTCTGTTTCCCCCATCCCACGCACCATGCCTCAGTTCCTGCCCCCCCGCACTCACCCACCATCCAGTCAAGCTCCTCCACGTTGTCGCCGTAGGCGCCGTGCGCGCTGCGGCCCCGGAAGGCAGGTGAGGTGACCAGCGGGACGTGGACGTGGAGGAAGGAGACGAGGAGGAGGAAGGGGCGGGCCTGGTGCCTGCGGATCCACGTCAGACCCCGCCCCCACCATCAATAACCTCACTGATAACCGACCTGATCAGGTATTGCCAATAATCGATCAGATGATCGATAATTGATCCTGATCTGATCAGATATTACCAATAATCGATCCTGATCTGATCGATAATACCAATAATCGTTCATGATCTGATCGATAATACCAATAATCAATAGTGATCTGATCAAAAATACCAAAATAGTGATCCAATCAGTTATTACCAATAATCAAACAGATCTGATCAGTTATTACCAATAATCAAACATCTGATCGATATGACCAATAATAGAACATGAGCTGATCAGATATTACTAATAATCGAACAGGATCTGATCAATAATACCAATATTCGATTGTGATGTGATCGATAATACCAATAATCGAACATCATCTGATCGATAATACCAATAATTGAACATGAGCTGATCAGTTATTACCAATAATCGAACATCATCTGATCAGTTATTACCAATAATCGATCATGATCTGATCAATACTACCAATAATCGATCATGGTCTGATCTGAGGTTTACCAGATGTCTCTACAGATCTACTAGATGGAACATCCGGGGACCTGAGGTCTACCAGATGTCTATAGAGATCTACTGGATGTACATCCAGGGATCTAAGGTCTACCAGTTGACTATAGAGATCTAGTAGATGGAATTGGTCCCCCTCCCCGACCCCAGGCTGACCTGTGGATGAAGGCCTCAGCCTCCCGCAAGAAGAGCCCCGCGCTGGCCTCAAACCTCAGAGGCTGCTGGACGACCTGGTGATCCCTCATCAGGAAGCAGTCAGCATGGACGATGAAGATACCCAGGAGGCGGGAGGTGCAGGCCAGGAGCAAGGCCCCACATCCGGGGCCCAGCACCCAGGGCACCCAGCGCAGGCCCAGCAGGCCCGTGACCTTCCCAGCGGCCAGGCAGAGCAGGGAAAGCAGCAGCAGCTGAGCCCCCAGGTCCAGGGGCCCTTGCAGACGCGCTCGCTTCTCCGAGGGCTCCGCTTGCAGGCAGTCCCCCATCAGGGTGAAGGGGACCCCGAAGAAGGAGTCAAACCCGTGGTTCAGGGGGTGGTGGCAGTGGTCAGTGGGGGACTCACAGTTGAGGCCCAGGTGCCATTTGCCTGGAGGGGAAGAGATGGATGGATGAGTGAATGGATGGGTGGATGGATGGGTGGATGGATGGGTGGGTGGATGGTTGGGTGGGTGGATGGGTGGGTGGATGGATGGATGGATGGATGAATAGGGGAATGGGTGGGTGGATGGATGGATGGATGGATGAATAGGTGGATGGGTGGATGGATGGATAGATGAGTGGATGGATGGATGGATGGGTGGATGGGTGGATGGATGGATGGATGGATGGATGGGTGGATGGATGGATGGATGGATGGATGGGGGATGGGTGGATAGATGGATGGGTGGATGGATGACTTCTTTCTTACCTATGAGGCCGGTGGCATATCCCTGCTCCTGCAGGATCTTGGCGAAGGTGATCTCGGAGGTGGGCAGCCCGCCCGACACGGCTGCCCACTGCAGCACGCGCGCCCCGTTGGTGGTCACCATGCCTTCCAAGAGAGAGGAGAAGGACCCTAGGTCAGTGATGATGGCGTCCCGGGTCAGGAGGGGCTATCTAGCACCTTCAGGGGGAAGGCCTGCTGTGTCTGGGATAGCCTGGGACCTGCGCACCCGGGGTGGAAAGGACCCCAGCCCTGTGAGCCCCCGGGGGAAACCAATATGGCATCACTTCCGGTTTCCTGGCGTTTCAGGGGGGAAGTCCCAGAGTCTCAGGAATTTGAACCTGAGATCCTCAGAGTAGTCCTCCCCTCCCTCTGATGGACCTCAGTGCCCTAGATGTTGAGCCTCAGTTCCCTGGATGTTGGACCTCAGGTCCCCGGATGTTTGATGTTAGTATCCCGGATGTTGGCCCTCAGATCCCCGGATGATGGAGTTCAGTGCCCTGTATGGTGGATATCAGGACCCCAGATGTTGGACTTCAGTTACCCAGATGTTGTAGCTCAGTTCCCTGGATGTTGGATCTTACAACCCCGGATATTGGAGCTCAGATTCGAGTATGTTGGCCCTCAGATCCCCAGATGTTGGAGCTCTGTTCCCTGGATGTTGGGGCTTAGGTTCCCGGATGTTGGATCTTAGTACCCCGGATGGTGGATGTCAGGTCCTCGGATGTTGGAGTTCAGTTCCCAGAATGTTAGGCCTCAGATCCCCGGATGTTGGATCTTAGTACAATGGATGTTAGAGATAAGGTCCCCAGATGTTAGAGTTCAGTGCCCCGGATGTTGGTGCTCAGATCCCCGGATGTTGGATCTTAGTAACTGGATGTCAGAGATGAAGTCCCTGGATGTTAGAGCTCAGTGCCCTGGATGTTGGTGCTCAGTTCCCCGGATGTTAGGCTTTAGATCCCCGATGTTGGGTCTCAGATCCCCAGATGTTGGATATCAGGTCCATGGATGTTGGATCTTAGTACCCCGGATGTTGGCTCTCAGATCCCCGGATGTCCCGCCCCCACCTCCCCCCCACCGCCCCCTCCATTCCCCAAATGTCCCAACCCCCCATACCGACCCAGGCGCACAGGGTAGCATCCCGTCAGGAAGGCCGCACGGCTCGGGCTGCAGACGGACGCTGCCGCCAGGTGCTGGGTCAGCCGCACGCCCTCCCGGGCCAGGCCGTCCAGGTGCGGGGTGCTGTGGGGGGAGAGGAAAACTGAGTCACAGCCTAGAACATACGGGGACCTGGGGTTTAACATCCGGGGATCTAATGCACAACATCCCAGGAGCTGAACTCCAACATCCAGGGCCCTGAGATCCCACATCCGGGGATCTAAGATCCAACATCCGGGGACTTGAGATCCCACATCCGGGATACTAAGATCCAACATCTGGGGACCTGAGGTCCAACATCCTGGGATCTAAGGTCCAACATCTGGGGCCCTGAGATCCCACATCCAGGGTACTAAGATCTATATCTGTGGACTGGACTCCTACATCCGGGGATCTAAGGCCCAACATCCGGGGACCTGAGGGCCTACATCCGGACAACTAAGATCCAACCTCTGGGACCTGAGCTCAAACATCTGGGTACCTGGTCTCCAACATCTGGGACACTAAGATCCAACATCCAGGGATCTGATATCCAACATCCGGGGGCCTGATCTCCAACATCTGGGGTACTAACATCTAACATCTGGGAACCTGATTTCCCACATCTGGGTTATACTAAGATTTAACATCCGAGGACCTGATCTCCAACATCCGGGGCACTAACATCCCACATCCAGGGATCTGATATCCAACATCCGGGGACCTGATCTTCAACATTCAGGGAACTGAGATCTAACATCCTGGGAATTGAACTCCAACATCCGGGGACCTAACATCCAACATCCGGGGACCTGAGGTCCACTAGATGTCTATACAGTTCTCCTGGTGGAACATCCGGGGAACTGAGCTCTAACATCTGGGGTACTAACATGTAACATCCGGGGACCTGATATCCAACATCCAGGGCAGTAAGATTCAACATCCGGGGACCTGATCTCCAACATCGGGGACCTGATCTCCAACATCCGGAGCACTAACATCTAACATCCGGGAACCTGATTTCCCACATCCGGGGCATAAGATCTAACATCCGTGGACCTGTCCTTCAACATCCAGGGCACTAACATCCCACATCCGAGGATCTGATATCCAACATCCGAGGATCTGATATCCAACATCCGGGGTACTAACATCTAACATCGGGGACCTGATATCCAACATCCAGGACACTAAGATCTAACATCCAGGCACCTGGGCTCCTACATCCAGAGGAATAAGATCCAACATCCGGGGCACTGAGCTACAACATCCAGGGTACTAATAGCTAACATCCGGGGACCTGAGCTCCCACATTCGGAGCACTAACCTCCAACATCTGGGGACCTGAGCTCCTACATCTGGGGCACTGAAGTCCAATATCTGGGGACATAATCTCCCACATCCGGGGTACTAAGATTTAACATCCAGGGACCTGATATCCAACATCCAGGGCACTAACATCCAACATCCGGGGACCTAGTCTCCAACATACGGGGTACTAACATCCAACATCCAGGGAACTGAAGTCCAACATCCGGGAACCTGATTTCCCACATCCGGGGTATTAAGATTTAACATCCGGGGACCTGATATCCAACATCCGGGGCATTAAGATCCAACATCCGGGGACCTGGTCTCCAACATCCGGGGACCTGGTCTTCAAATCCGGGGTACTAACATGTAACATCCGGGGACCTGATATCCAACATCCGTGGCACTAAGATCCAACATCCGGGGATTTGATATCCAACATCCACGATACTAACATCCAACATCCAGGGAACTGAGTTACTAGATGTCTATACAGTTCTCCTGGTGGAACATCCAGGGATCTGAGCTCCCACATCCGGGTAACTAAGGCCCTACATCCGGGCCTCCCCCTCTGCTCACCGCAGGCTGCGGTTCCCGAAGCTGCCCAGGTCGCCCAGGCCCAGGTCGTCGGCCAAGAGCAGCAGGAAGTTGGGGCGCGAGGGGGCGGGGCCTGCGCAGGGGCCAGGGGGGAGGAGGAGGAGGAGGAAGGCGAGGGGTGGGGCTGCGCAGCTGCTGTGCGACCTGAGGAGGAGAGAGAGGAGGAGGAGGGGTGGATGGGTGGATGGATGGATGGATAGGTGGATGGGTGGATGGATGGATGGATGGGTGAATGGATGGGTGGATGGATGGATGGTTGGATGGATAGGTGGATGGGTGGATGGATGGATGGATGGATGGGTGAATGGATGGGTGGATGGATGGATGGTTGGATGGATGAGTGGATGGGTGGATGAGTGGATGGATGGATGGGTGGATGGGTAGATGGATGGATGGGGGGATGGGTGGGTGGATGGATGGATGGGTGGATGGATGGATGGGTGGGTGGGTGTATGGATGGATGGGTGGGTGGATGGATGAATGGATGGATGGGTGGATGGATGGATGGGTGGGTGGATGGATGGATGGATGGATGAATAGGTGGATGGGTGGATGGATGGGTGGATGAATAGGTGGATGGGTGGATGGATGGATGGATGGGTGGGTGGATGGATGGGTGGGTGGATGGATGGGTGGGTGGATGGGTGGATGGATGGATGGGTGGATGGGAGGAGGGATGGGAGGACTCCCCCTCCCTCCAGGCCCTCTCCTGACCAACATGGCGCCCAGGATCACATCCTTCCCATGATGCTCCCCGTTTCCTGGAAGAGAAGGCCGGAAGCAGGAAGTGGGGAAGAGCTGAGGAACATCCGGCCACCCCAGGGCCAGGCTGCTGTTGCCCCCACCAGTACATCAGCCCCTCACCTTGTCTTTCCAGGCTTGTGGCAGGGCCCTGCAGCCCCCACCCCAGGGCATGGTGGGACATCCGGGGGGGCTCCAAAAAGCAATCGAAGCCCCCCCCACCCCGGGTCCCCACACCTCTCCCCGTGTTCCCCAGAGGACGAACTCACATCCACAGTTCTCTGCCATCAGCGCCTGGGCCTGCTGCTCTCCCTGCCAGCCAGGAAGCTCGCAGGGGTCAAATGTCCACGTCACTCCAGCAGCCAGAACTCCACAACCCCCCTCCAAAATAAAAGTCCCCTTGTTCCTTGGAAAGGAACAGGATGTGGTGCTGAAGGGGAAGGCAGGGAAGAAAGGGAAAAGCCTGGAGTTGCTGGGCTGGGCGCCAAGAAATTGCCAGGCCTGGCAGAGGCAGGAGGAAGGGGAGGAGGGAAACCTCGAGAACTACATGGAGGGCTGCAATAAGAGTCAGGACCGTCAGGGAGCGTGGCCTGTGCCCAGGGGGCGTGGCCTGTGCTCAGTAGGGCGTGCCAGAGCTCAGGAGGGTGTGGCCTGGGCTGGGGAGGAAGTGAGGGACTCAGGAGGGCTTGGCCTGCGCTGGGGGGCGGAAGTGAGGAAGAATTCCATCCAGAAGCAGCATGGCTGCTTTATTGCCTCCGAGTCTGGGAAAGGACCCCAACGGCCAAAGCGCAGCTGGAGCCCGGGGCCAAGGTGTGGAGTGCCCGCTCCGCCCACATCTGGGTTCCACCTCTCACATCTGGGTCTCAACCCCTCACATCTGGGTCCCAACCCTCACATCCGGGTCCAAACCCCTCACATCCGGGTCCTGGCGCCTGCCAGTGGACCTGGAGTTAAGTAACATCCTGGTACTCGCCTCCACATCTGGGTTCCCGTACCTGGAGATCCCTAACATCTGGGTACCGACCCCACATACGGGTTCACGGACCTGGAGGTCCCTAACATCTGGGTACTCACCCCACATCCAGGTTCATGGACCTGGAGGTCCCTAACATCTGGGTACTCACCCCACATCCAGGTTCATGGACCTGGAGGTCCCTAACATCTGGGTAGTTCCCATTCCACATCTTGGTCCTGGACCCTCAGTGGATGTGGAGGGACCTGACATGCGGGATCCCCACACCACATCTGGGTCCTAGACCCTGTCAGTGGAAGGAGAGGAGCATGACATCCGGGACTCCACACGCCACAGCCAGGCCTGTGGATGTGATATCCGGGTCCTGCCCAGCACATATCTGGGTCCCTGCCACAGTCCACATCCGGGTTAATGGACGCGGACTTACATAACATCCGGGTTCCCCATGCAACATCCAGGTCCTGGCCCCTCAGTGGACCTGGAGATAGGTGACATCCGGGTCCCCCAGTCCACATCCGGGTCCTGGCCCCTCAGTGGACCTGGAGATAAGTGACATCTGGGTCCCTGACGCCACATCCGGGAGAGTGGACACGGAGGAGGGTGACATCCGGGTCCCCCAGTCCACATCCGGGTCCTGGCCCTTCAGTGGACCTGGAGATAAGTGACATCCGGGTTCCCCAGGCCACATCTGGGTCAGTGGACACGAATGAGGGAGACATCCGGGTCCCTCCCAGTCCACATCCGTGTACTGGCCCCTCAGTGGACATGAAGGAAGGTGACATCCGGGTCCCTCCTAGTCCACATCCGGATCCTGACCCATCAGTGCATCTGGAGGAAAGTGACATCCGGTTTCTCCATGCCACATCCGGGTCAGTGGACATGGAAGAAAGTGACATCCGGGTCCCTTCTAGTCCACATCCGGGTCCTGGCCCCTCAGTGGACCCGGAGATAGGTGACATCCGGGTTTCTCCCAGTTCACATCTGGGTCCTGGCTCCTCAGTGGACCCAGAGACAGGTGACATCTGGGTCTTTCCCAGTCCACATCCGGGTCCCTCCCAGTCCACATCCGGGTCCTAGCCTCTCCGTGGCCTCTGGTCGGACTGCAGCTTCTGTACAGCACATGCAGGTTTGGAGCCCCACATCCGGTCATCTTCCGGCTGGGGCCCAGGAGTCTTGCTGGAGCCGGACATCCGGGTCTCACGCGCTTTCCCGGCAACCGAACCCAGCGGCCTAAAGGCAGGAATGAAGCCCCACATCCGGGTCTTCTCGGTCTGTTGCCTGGCAACCGAACACAGAGGCCTAGACGCTGCGGTGGAGCCCAATGTCCTGGTATCTTCACTTGGTTGCCCGGCAACCGAACGCCGCGGCCTACCGGCGGGAATGAAGCCCCACATCAGGGTCTCCTCAGTCCGTTGCCCTGCCATGGCACCCAGCGGCCTAGTGGCGGGAATGAAGCTGAATATCCGGGTCTCTGGCACACGGGGGTCGTGTCTGGGCGGCGCCCCGGGGTGGGCGTGGCAGACGTAGGCGCCGCGGTCGCGCTCGGAGGCGGCGCGCACCTCCAGGCTGCCGTCGGCGCCCAACGTGAAGCGGCCATGCCTCTGCGGCCCACACAGCACCAGCCCCCCGGGCAGGCGCCAGGACACCGGAAGCGTGGAGGTGGGGCAGCGCAGCCGGAAGCTGCCGCCCAGCACCACACGCAGCGCCGCCCCCGGCGCCGCCCCAGGGGGTGGAGTCAGCGCCTCAGAGGGCAGAGTCGGTGCGTCAGGGGGTGCAGTCAGCGCCCAAGATGGCGGGGCAGGCGGGCCAGGGGGCGGAGCTGCCTCAGAGGGCGGAGCCAGCGCACCAGGGGGCGGAGTCAGCGCCCAAGATGGCGGGGCAGGTGCGTGATGGGGCGGAGCCGGCGCAACAGGGGGCGGAGTCAACGCCTCAGAGGGCGGAGCCGACGCCGCTGCGGGGAGAGCCCGCGCCCACCATGGCGGCAGCCGCACCCACATCCGGGCTTCGCCCGCTGGGTTGCGCGCCACGCACACCACGGCATCGCTGCCACCGCTGTGCAGCGCACGCACATCCGGGATTTCCAACGTCCCGCGCGCATCCACGCTGATCCCTCCCCCCGTGCGACTGCGATACGGCACTGGAAGTACCAGCCCACCCGGAAGTTCCCACAGCAGGCGGGGCTCGGGGACGCCATCCGCCTGGCAGCGCACGCGCAGACGCACCACGGGGGAGACCCGGATGTCGTCGTTCACGTCGTCATGGACGTCAGGCGTGACCCGGATGCGCGGCGCCCGCAGCTGCACGTGTAGGCGCACGGTGGCGCGCCAGCCCCGCCCCGCCACGCACGTGTACGTGCCTGCGTCGGCCCGCCGCACCCCGCGCAGGCGCAGACGCCCGTCCGGCAGCACCCGGAAGTGGGCGTCCTCCGGGCCGGAAGTGAAGGCCATGGGGCGCAAGGCCGGCGTCAGCCACGTCACCGCGCGCGACCCTCGCGTCACTGGGCACGTGAGGGTCACTGGGGCGCCGTAGGGGACGGAGAGCTCAGGGGGCAGCAGGGTGGAAGTGGGAGAGGAAGAGGAAGCCGGAAGTGAAGCCGGAAGTGAAGGGGAACCAGGAAGTGAAGAGTAACCAGGAAGTGAAGAGGAAGAGGAAACAGAAAATGAAGAGGAAGAAGGAAGAGGCTGAAAGGAAGAGGAAGAAGAGGAAGAAGGAAAGGAAGAGGAAGAAGAAACATGAGAGGAAGCAGGAAGAGATGGAGAAGAGGAAGAAGAAGGAAAGGAAGAGGAAGCAGGAAAAGAATGTGAAGAAGAGGAAGAAGGAAGAGACTGAGAAGAGGAAGAGGAAGGAAAGGAAGAGGAAGCAGGAAAAGAATGTGAAGAAGAGGAAGAGGAAGGAAAGGAAGAAGAGGAAGAAGGAAGAGACTGAGAAGAGGAAGAGGAAGGAAAGGAAGAAGAAGAAGAAGGAAGAGATTGAGAGGAAGAGAACAGGAAAGGATGAGAGGAAGAAGGAAAGGAAGAGGAAGAAGGAAAAGAAGAAGAGGAAGCAGAGGAAAAGGAAGAAGATGAAGGATGGTGAGAGGAAGAGGAAGGAAGAGATGGAGAGGAAGAGGAAGAAGGAAAGGAAGAGGAAACAGGAAATGAAGAGGAAGAGGAAGACGGAAGTGACTGAGAGGAAGAGGAAGAACCCGCCCCAGGCCCCGCCCCCCCAGCTGTAGTCACACATCCGAGGTCTAACCCAGGCCCCAGGTCCCAGTTCCCCACACTCCCATCAGGCCTCGTGACCCGAACATCCGGGTCTCCCAGGACACCGGATGGGACCTGGAGGCGGTGGTAGGCAGTGCAGTCCTCCCTGGGGTCGGCGTCCTGGGTCACGGGGGTCACGGGGGTCACGGGAAGCCCGGGTTGCAGATAGGAGGCACCTGGCCCAGCCATCAACTCCACGCGCAGCCGTGCATGCGCGTCGCCCGCCGCGTTGCGCGCCACGCACACGTACTCCCCCGCATCACGTGACGTCACCGGACGCACGGAGAGCGTGCCGTTGGAAAAGGCGCGGACCCGGATGTCAGAGCTGGGGAGGGGAGGGGAAGGGAGGGCAGGAAGGAAGGAAGGAAGGAAGGAAGGAAGGAAGGAAGGAAGGAGGGAAGGAAGGAGGGAAGGGTAAAGGAAGGATTGGAGGGAAGGAAGGAGTGAATGTAGGGAAGGAAGGAGGGAAGGAAGGATTGGAGGGAAGGATTGGAAGGATTGGACGGAAGGAAAGATGGAAGGATTGGAGGGAAGTAAGGAAGGATTGGAGGGAAGGAAGGAAGGAAGGATTGGAAGAAAGGAAGGAAGGATTGGAGGGAGGGAAGGAAGGAAGGATTGGAGGGAGGGAAGGAAGGATTGGAGGGAAGGAAGGATGGAAGGATTGGAGGGAAGGAACGAAGGATTGGAGGGAAGGAAGGATAGAAGGATTGGAGGGAAGGAGGGAATGTAGGGAAGGGAGGTTGGAGGGAAGGATTGGAAGGAAGGATTGGAGGGAAGGAAGGAAAGCTTGGAGGGAAGGAAGGAAGGATCGGAGGGAAGGAAGGAAGAAGGGAAGGAGGGAAGGAAGGAATAAGGGAAGGAAGGAAGAAGGGAAGGAAGAAAGGAGGGAAGGAAGGAAGGAAGGAGGGAAGGAAGTAATAGGAGGAAAGACCATAAGGAAGGGAAGACAAATTTGAAGCCAATGTTAGTTATTCGCACATGTGACATATGCATCCAATACTCATCTTGTATCGATCCCTGACCGATCATCTATCAATGATCGATCACTAGGGTTCTACCTTGCGATCTGGCAAGCCAGGACCTATCAATTACCTATTCACTGCTAATGGATCTACCATCCCCACCTCATCTCTATCAATATTTAATGGATAATCGATTTGTTATCTATGGTCTACTGTGTCTACATCATCTGTCTAATCCATCCTCTATCAATTAACTATCTATCAAGGGGTATCATCTTTATCCCAACTATGGGTGGATAGATGGATGGGTGGATGGATGGATGGATGGATGGGTGGATGGATGAGTGGATGGATGGGTGGATGGATGGATGGGTGGATGGATGGGTGGATGGATGGATGGGTGGATGGATGGGTAGATGGATGGATCGATGGGTGGATCGATGGATGGGTGGGTGGATGAATGGGTGGGTGGATGGATGAGTGGATGGGTGGACGGATGGAAGGATGGATGGATGGATGGGTGGATGGATGGATGAGTGGATGGGTGGATGGATGGATGGATGGAGGGATGGATGGATGGGTGGATGGGTGGGTAGATGGAGGGATGAATGGATGGGTGGATGGATGGATGGATGGGTGGGTGGACGGATGGATGGAAGGGTGGATGGGTGGATGGATGGATGGGTAGATGAATGGATGGATGGGTGGGTGGATGGATGGGTGGGTGGGTGGATGGATGGATGGGTGGATGGATGGATGGGTGGATGGATGAGTGGATGGATGGATGTATGGATGGGTAGATGAACGGGTGAATGGATGGATGGATGCCCCCCACTTCCCACACTCACCTGCTCCCAGCATCCACCAGGCGCCCGTCTGGCAGCCTCCAGAACACGCGTGGGGCGGGATCCCCGCGCACGTGGCAGTGCAGCGTGAGGTCAGCGCCGTGGGGCACGCGCGTGGCGAGCGGGCCTCGGGGTCGGACGCTGGGGGGGAGACGCGCGGGCGCGGGCGTGACTTCGACGTGCACAGTGCGTCTCGCGCTGCTCAGCGCGTTGGCGGCCACGCACTCGTACTCACCGGCATGGCGCGGGGCCTGCAGGCGGCGCAGCACCAGCGTGCCATTGGGGAGGACGTAGACGTCACTGAGTCGAGGGTGCGTGTGCGCATGCACGGGTCTCGCGTGGGTCCCGTCAGGCAGACGCCAGTGCAGGGCCACAGGGGGCCAGGCCTGGGCTGTGCAGGGCAGGTGCAGGGTGAGGCCCGCGTGGGCCGACACGAACTCCGTGGGCGCCTCGCGCAGCACGGGGGGAGCGGGGGAGGCGTGCATGACATTTCCACGTGTGTCAGAGCCATGCATGCGCGCTTCATGTGTATCAGGTGAGTGTGGAAGGGATGTGATCGTGTCCCTTTCACGAGTGATATTTACACGTGTGACCATCGTGTGAGTTTCAGATCCACGCGTGACATTTCCAAGCGTGTCCATCGTGCCAGAGTCAGATCCACTCGTGTCCGTTCCACGCGTGTCGGGCGCCGCCGGGGTCAGCTCCACGCCTGGGGATGGACAGACGGACGGAGGGAAGGGCAGAGGGACAGGGCGTTGGATAAGAGCCCCTGTGCTGGTCGGAGACAGTGCTCTGTCCCTCTGTCTGTCTGTCCGTCCGGCTGTCCATCTCCGTCCGTCTGTCTATCCATCTGTCTGTCAGTCTGTCTATGTCTGTCTGTCTGTCCCTCTGTCTGTCTGTCTCTGTCAGTCTGTCTGTTCGTCTACTTGTCCGTCCATCTGTCCATCTGTCTGTCCGTCCGTTTCTCTGTCCATCTCTCTGTCTGTCTGTCTATCCATCTGTCTGTCAGTCTATGTCTGTCTGTCCCTCTGTCTGTCTGTCTCTGTCAGTCTGTCTGTTCGTCTGTCTACTTGTCCGTCCGTCAGTCCATCTGTCTGTCCATCCGTTTCTCTGTCCATCTGTCTGTCCCTCTGTCTCTCTGTCCCTCTGTCTGTCCATCTGTCTGTCCCTCTGTCTCTCTGTCTGTCCATCTGTCTATCCATCCATCAGTCCATCCGTCTATCTGTCCATGTGTCTGTGTCGCTCCGTCCACCCATGTATCTGTCTGTCCATTCATCTGTCCATCCATCTATCTACTGTCTTACTGTCTACCTATCTGTGTATCCTTCCTTCCGTCCATCTCTCTCTCTCTCTCTCTCTGTCTATGGCTCTGTTTGTCTATCTGTCCATTGCTCTGTCTATCTATGATTCTGTCTATTTGTCCACTGGTCCATCCATCTAGCTATCTGTCCATCTGTCTGTCCACCTGTCTCTCTATCTATCTGTCTGCCTGTCTGTCTGGTGTCTGTCTACCTATCTGTCTATACATCCATCGGTCCGTCCGTCTGTCTACCCACCCACCTGTCCATGTTATCTCTTTCAATCCATCCATCCATCCACCCGTCTGTCTATCCATCCATCTGTCCATCTGTCTCTCTGACTGTGTATACCTCTGTCTGTCTATCTGTCCATTGGTCCATCTATCCATCTGTTCATCTGTCCATCTGTTCGTCTCTCCATCCATTCTTCTGTCTATCTGTCTCTATGGCTCTGTCTATCCGTCCATTGGTCTGTCTGTCTGTCTGTCTATCTATCTGTCTGTCTGTCTGTCTGTCTGTCTGTCTACCTATCCATCCATCCAACCATGTATGTTTCTATCTGTCTGTCTATCCGTCCATCTGTCCATGTATCTCTCTGTCTGTCTGTCTGTCTGTCTCTCTATGGCTCTGTCTGTCCATCCTTCCATTGGTCGGTCTGTCTGTCTGTCTCTTTCTATCTATCTGTCCATGTCTCTGGTGTCTGTCTGTCTACGGCTCTGTCTATCGTCCATCAGTCTATCTGTCTGTTTATCCGTCCATCAGTCCATGTATCTCTCTGTCTGTCTGTCTCTCTATGGCTCTGTCTATCTGTCCATTGGTTTATCTGTCTGTCTGTCTACCTATCTATCTGTCCATCTGTCCTTCTATCTATCTACTATCTGTCTACCTGTCTATCCGTCCTTCTGTCCGTCCATCTGTCTACCTGTCTCTGTATCCATCTGTCTGTCTGGTGTCTGTCTACCTATCTGTCTATACATCCATCAGTCTGTCTGTCTGTCTACCCATCCATCTGTCCATCTATCTCTTTGTCTATGGCTCTGTCTGTCTATCTGTCCATTGGTCTGTCTATCTATCCATCCAGCTGTCTGTCTGTCTACCTATCTATCCATCCATCCAACCATGTATGTTTCCATGTCTGTCTGTCTCTCCATTCATCTGTCCATGTATCTCTCTGTCTGTCTGTCTATGGCTCTGTCTATCCGTCCATTTGTTTATCTATCTATCTATCAGTCTATCTGTCTGTCTATCTATCTGTCCATCTGTCTGTCTACTGTCTGTCTACCTGTCTATCCGTCCTTCTGTCCATCTGTCTGTCTGTCTCTCTATGGCTCTGTCTATCCGTCCATTCATCCGTCTATCCACCTATCTGTCTGTCTGTCTGTCTATCCATCCGTCCCTCTATCTGTCTGCTCTATGTCTGTCTGTCTGTCTGTCTGTGCGTGTGTGTTTGTCTCCCCAGTCATCCTGTGCCCCACACAGCCAGGAACACAGACAACAGACAGACAGAGTAAAGGACTTCGCCCCTCCCCTCCCCATGCCCTCTGACCTGTCCATGCCCTCTGCCCTCCCAGTGACCCGACCTCCCTGTGACCTCTCCATGACCTCTGACTACTCTGTGACCTCTGACCTCCTGTGACTCCTGGCTTCCCCATGACCTCTGACCTCCCAGTGACCCTCCCGAGACCTCCCCGTGAACTCTCCATGACCCCTGAGTTCCCCATGACCTTTGACCTCCCATCCACTTCTCACCTGCCCATGGCCTCTCACCTCCCCGTGACCTCTCCATGACCTCTGACCTCTCTGCAACCGCTGACCCTACTGTGACCCCTGGCTTCCTTGTGACCTCTGACCCCCCGTGACCCCTAACCTCCCCGTGACCTCTGACCGTATTGTATCCTCCCTGTGACCTCTTACCTCCACCTCCTATCTGGCTCCCCTCAGTCCCCCGCCCCCACGCCAAGAGCCTGCAGGAGACAGATGGGTAAACTGAGGCTCACCCGTGTCCAGCTCGTTCCAGACGCCACGGGGCGGGGTCACGGCGGGCGGGGCCGGGGGTCGCGGGTCAAAGGTCCCCGGGTCACCATCGGGGGAAGCCGCAGGATGGGAAGGGAGGACATCCGGGGCACGGCCATGCAGGGTCGTGACCACGGGGTCACGGGGGTTCACCGTGGGGCCCGGCCGGGCGCGGTGAGCTTTGTGCTGTCGCCCCTGCCTGCGGCCGCTGCCAGGCCTCCTGGGAGCCGGAAGTAAGGAGGCCGGAAGTGAGGAGGACGGAAGTGCAGAGGTCGGAGCAGTGGATGCTCGAGGGGTGGAGGCCGGAAGTGGGGATGTCCGTGTCGAAACCGGAAGTGGAGAGGTCCATGGGGAGACCGGAAGTGTGGAAATCAGAAGTGGGGATCTCCGAGTGGTAACCGGAAGTGGGGTGGTCTGACTGGAGACCGGAAGTGGGGAGGTCTGTGGGGAAACCGGAGGTGTGGAAGTCGGAAGTGGGGATCTCTCAGTCGAAAACGGAAGTGGGTAGGCCGAAGTAGTGGAGGCCGGAAGTGGGGATTTCTGAGTGGAAACCGGAAGTGGGGAAACAGGAAGTGGGGTGGTCCGAATGGAGACCGGAAGTGGGGATCTCCGCGTGGAGACCGGAAGTGTAGATCTGCGAGTGGAGCCCAGAAGTGGGGATGTTCGAGACAAAACCGGAAGTGTGGAAGCCGGAAGTGGGGTGGTCCCAGTGGAGACCGGAAGTAGGAATTTTCGAGTGGAAACTGGAAGTGTGGAAGCAGGAAGTGCGGGGGTCCGAGTGGAGACTGGAAGTGAGGAGGTCCGTGGGGAGAGCGGAAGTGGGTAGGCGGAAGTAGTGAAGACAGGAAGTGGTGATGTTCGAGTGGAAACCGGCAGTGTGGAGACCAGAAGTGGGGTGGTCTGAGTGGAGACCGGAAGTGGTGAGGTCCGAGTGGAGACCAGAAGTGGGTCGGCGGAAGACACAGAGACCGGAAGTGGGGATATTTGTGTCGAAACCGGAAGTGTGGACGCCGGAAGCGGGGAGGTCTCCGTGGAGACCGGAAGCAGGGCGGGCGGGGCCCGGAAGTCGCCTGTGGCGCGGCCGCGAACGTGCGCCAGGATGCGCGCCCAGTGCTCGGGCTGGATGTGCTCGGGCTGGATGTGCTCGGCAGCCACTGGTGGGCGCGGGCGGCGCGGCAAGGCAGGCTCGAACCCGTGGCCGGCGGGGGCAGCACGCGGGATGGGAGGGAGATAGGGAGGCGGCGGACGCCGCTGCTACCCGCGCCCGGGGCCGCCCGCAGGACGCCGACGCCACAGCCATGCTTCCCCGGTGCCCGGGCCCAAGCTTGGCACACCAACAATGACGTCAGCACCGCGCGTCGCCCCCGCAGCCGCTTCCGCAGCGGCACCTGCCATCTTGGAATCCGCCATTTTTGAATCAGCCATCCTGGCCTCCACCATCTTGGAATCTGCCATCTTAATTCCCTCCATCTTGGATTCCTCCATCTTGGATTCCGCCATGTTGGTTCCCTCCATCTTTGATTCCACCACCTTGTTTTCGGCCATCTTTATTCCTTCCATCTTGTTTTCCGCCATCTTGATTCCTTACATCTTGGATTCTGCCATGTTGCTTTCCCTGATCTTGTTTCCCTCCATTTTGGATTCCGCCATCTTGGCGTCCACCATCTTGGAATCCGCCATGTTGGTGTCGGCCATGTTGGATTCCACCATGTTTTCGGCCATCTTGGTTCCCTCCATCTTGGATTCCTCCATCTTGTTTCGCCCCATGTTTGATTCCGCCATCTTGGCATCTGCCATCTTCGTTTCGTCCATCTTGGCTTCCGCCATCTTAGTTCCCTCCATCTTGGATTCTGCAATCTTGGCTTCCGCCATTTTGTTTCCTTCCATCTTGGATTCCGCCATCTTGGTTCCCTCCATCTTGGTGTCCACCATCTTGTTTTTGGCCATCTTGGAATCCGCCATGTTGGCGTCGGGCATGTTAGATTCCGTCATGTTTTTGGCCATCTTGCTTCCCTCCATTTTGGATTCCACCATCTTGGTGTCCACCATCTTGGAATCCACCATCTTAATTCCCTCCATCTTGTTTTCCACCATCTTGTTGCCTTTCGTCTTTGATTCTGCCATCTTGTTTTTGGCCATCTTGCTTTCCGCCATCTTGGATTCTTCCATCTTTGATTCCGCCATCTTGTCTCCCGCCATCTTGCCCCCCGCCGCCCCACCCACGCTGACGTCGGCTTCCCAGCCCGCCAGCCCCAGCACGTTGGCGGCCACGCACACATAGCGCCCGGCGTGCTGTGGGCCCAGCGTGGGCAGCGTCAACATCCCGTCCGCCCCGACCCCGACCCCGTCCGTCCCCAGCTCCGTCCCCGCCCAGGCCCAGCGCCCGCCCGGCAGCAGCCAGCCCACGCGCACCGCCGGCTCCCCCTCCGCCCGACAGCCCACCCGCTGCGTGACGCCCGCAGGCAGTTCCAGATCCGTGGCCGCTGGCGCCCGAGACGCCACCACGAACACGCGCTGTACCCGGCCCGCCATGGCGGACTCAAAGCCACCGTAGGCCGCAGGGCCCGGGGCTGCAGACGGGGTGTAGGCCGCAGGGGCTGTGGCTTCAGAAGTGGCGGAGGCCGTGGGGGCTGTGGCTTCAAAGCTGATGTAGGCCGCGGGGCCCGTGGCTTCAGACAGGGTGTAGGCTGCGGGGCTTGTGGCTTTCTCCTCAGTGTCGGCCTCAGATCCTATGGCTTTTTCCTCAGCGAAGGCCTCAGATTCTATGGCTTTATTTGCACCATAGGCCTCGGATTCTATGGCTTCATTCACAGCGTAGGCTTTTTCTTCACCATAGGTCTCAGATTTCGTGGCTTTTTCCTCAGTGTAGGCCTCGGATCTCATGGCTTCATCTGAGCCATAGGCACTGGATCCTTTGGCTTTCTCCTCAGTGTAGGCCTCAGATCCTGTGGCTTCATTCACACCATAGGCCTCGGATTCCATGGCTTCCTCCTCCGCGTAGGCCCCGGACCCCGTGGCTCCGTCCCCGCCATAGGCCACGCGCCGTGCCTTGGTTTCCCAGCGGCGCCCCACGCGGGCCTCGCAGCGGTACCAGCCAGCGTCGGCCTGGCGCATCCTGTGGATCTCCAGTGTTGTCCCCCCATCATGGCCGCCATCCTCATCGCCCCGCAGGATGGAGCCGTCGGGCCGCGTCCAGGCCATGCGTGGTGTTTCCGAGCCCTGCGCCGCACAGCGCAGCCGCAGCGTCTGCCCCGGGGTCACCACGTGCACGTCATCAGGGTCATCACGGGGGTTGAGGGTCACCCAGGGTGCGTCCTCCGGGTCCTCGGGGCCACGCACGCACGCCGTCCACGTCAGACGCATGCGTGGCCCACGCAGCCCAGCCCAGCGCAGCATCAGCTCGGGCTGCAGCAGCCAGGCAGGCCGCGCCCACAGCCGGGCCACCACACCTGGAAGTGACGTCGGCGACGATGGCGACGCGCCAGGGCCGTGCACCAGGCGGTAGGCCTTGCCCACATCCAGGTCATGGACATCCGGGAAACTGGCCTCAGGGTGGGCGTGGCCTCCATCCTGGTCATACCTGGGGCCTACATCCGGGTCTCTGTCCTCAGAGTGGGCGGGGCCCTCATCTGGGTCATTGACATCAGGGTCTCTGTCCTCAGGGTGGGCAGGGCCCTCATCCATGTCATGGACATCCAGGTCTCTAGCCTCAGGGTGGGCGTGGCCTCCATCCTGGTCTCTGTCCTCAGGGTGGGCGGGGCCCTCATCTGGGTCATTGATATCCGGGTCTCTGTCCTGAAGGTGGGCGGGGCCTACGTCCTGATCATACTCATGGCCTACATCCGGGTGTCTGGCATGCTTGTAGGCGGGGCCTACATCCCGGTGTCTGTCCTGCTGGTGGGAGGGGCCTACATCCGGGTCTTGGGCTTGATACATATAGCCTACATCCGGGTATTTGTCCTGCAGATGGGTGTGGCCTACAACCGGGTCTCTGTCCTGAGCGTGGGCAGGGCCTACATCAGGGTCTCTGGCTCCCTGGTGGACATGGCCTATATCAGGGTTCCTGGTTCGATGGTGGGCATGGCCTACATGCGAGTCTGTGGCCTGATACATATGGTCCACATCCGGGTCTCCGCCCTGACGGTGGGCGTGGCCTACATCCGGGTCCCTGTCCTGATACAGCTCATCCCCATCAGCGTCTCCGCCCGAGGCCCGAGGGTTGGGCGTGGCCTTCCCCGATCCATCTCCCGGGTCCCTATCTGCGTGGGCGTGGCCCGGCGCCTCAGGGTCCCAGCGCAGCATCAGTGCGACATCATCAGTGTCATCATCGCCTCCCAGCAGGCGGCGGGCATGTGCGAGGTGGGCAGGGTCGGCGTAGCAGGCGAGGGCGGCGCTGAGCGTCAGGCGCACGCGCACAGGGACATCGGGGGCGGGGCCGGGCCGCGCGTCGAGGTCGCGCACGGCAGGTAAGGCCGGCAGCGCGGCCACGGGCGTCTGTCAGCCTCAGCCGCACCTCGCCCACCTCCTCCCTGTCCTCCACTTCCTCTTCCTCCGCCTCCACTTCCGCTTCCAGGGGCTCCTCGCCGTCTGCCGGGCTGGTGAGGATGCGCGGCGGGCGACAACGCATGCGTGGAGGCAGGCGACGCAGGTGCAAGCCGCGGCGGGCGGCGGGGCTGGCGCAGGCCGCGCACGCCTGTTCCTTCCCACAGCGCAGCACGCCTGCAGGGGGGGATGGGAGAAGGGCGGGGCTGACATGGGACACGCCCCCCTGGGGAGCCTCGGCCACGCTCCCATCGCGTCTGACTGGCTGGAGCTCGGCCACGCCCCTCCTGGGGGTTCTCAGCCACGCCCCCGCCTCGCCTGACTGGCTGGACCTCGGCCACGCCCCCCCGTGGAGCCTTAGCCTTACCCTCACCCTGCCTGAGTGGCTAAAGCTGGGCCATACCCTCCCTGTGGAGCCTCAGCAACGTCCCTGCCCCTCCTAAGTGGCTAGACCTTGGCCACGCCCCCTGCAGCTCCTCACTAATGCCCAGCCACGCCCAGCCACGCTGCTGCCGTTTTTTTACTGGCTGGAGCTAGGCCACGCCCCCCTGGGCGCCTCGGCCACGCCTCCGCCCCGCGTGACTGGGGGAACTTGGCTACTCACTTACGCCCAGCCACGCCCCCATCCTTTCTCACTGGCTGTAGTTCGGCCACGCCCCCTCTCTGCATCGCCTCAGCCCCGCCCGGCCCTCTCATTGGCCTGCGCTTGACCACGCCCCCTCTGCTCACCTCGGCCCCGCCCCTCCAGGTCCTCCATCCAGCGCGCACGGCAACCGCAGGCCCAGGGGTTACCCTGCAGGTGCAGCGCGCGCAGCGCGGGTGCCTGGGCCAGGGTGCCGGCGGGCAGCGCAGCCAGGTGGTTCCCAGCCAGGTGCAGCACTCGCAGCGTGCAGGCCGGGACCCCGCGCACGCGCAGCGTGGCCAACGCCTCGGGCGCCAGCGCCGCCAGCTGGTTCCCGTCCAGACGCAGCAGCCGCAGCGACGCCAGCCCCAGCAGTGCCCGCGGGGGCACCGACTCCAGCCGGTTGTGGTCCAGGTACAGCCGGGACAGGCGCCGCAGGCCCCGCAGGGAGCCCATGCGCAGTGCCCGAAGCTGGTTGTAGCTCAGCTTCAGCACCTGTGGGGGTGAAAGGGGGCGTTTCCGGGATCCGAAGGGCAACTTCGGGGTCACTTCCGCCCCACTTCCGGTCTCACTTCCACCCTACTTCCGTACCACTTCCTGTCACACTTCTGCTCCACGTCCGGCTTACTTCTCCCGACTTCTGCCTCTACTTCCTCCCACTTCCGAGTATATTTCCTCACTTCTTCCGGTCCCACTTCTGCCCCATTCTCACTTCCTCCCTACTTCCAACTCACTTCCGCCCCAGTTCCGGGTCACTTCCTCCCCACTTCCGGCTGACTTCCGCCTCTACTTCCTCCAAGTTCCTCCGCACTTCCGGCCAGTTACGGCCCTACTTTCTGTCACTTCCAGATCCAGATCCTCACCACTTCTGCCCCACTTCCGGCTCACTTCCGCCTCACTTCAGCCCCGACTTCCTCCCACTTCCTGCCCATTTCCTTCCTTATTTCTGCCCCACTTCCGGTCCTACCCATGGTCCTATTTCCACTTTCTTCCCCACTTCCAACTATATGTCATTCCCCACTTCTGGGTCACTTCTACCCCCACTTCCTCCCCACTTCCTTCCCTATTTTCACTCCACTTCCGGATCCATATCCTCACCACTTCCGCCCCACTTCCGCCTTCCGCCCCTACTTCGTCCTGCTTCCTCCCCACTTCCTTCCCTATTTCCACCCCACTTCTCACTTCCGGAACCATATCCTAACCACTTCCGCCCCTAGTTCCTCCCACTTCCGGCTTATTTTCACCCCTACTTCCTCACACTTCCTCCCTACTTCCCGATTTCCACCCCACTTCCGGCCCTACTTCCACTTCCAGATCCATATCCTCACTACTTCCGACCCACTTCCGCTCCACTTCCTTCCCTATTTCCACTCAACATCTGGCTACACTTCCAGCCCTACTTCTTCCCAGG